ATTTAGAACACCAAAGAGACAAGACAAGAAATAACCTTCCCACGCCATATTGTAGTTAAAACCATATTGCCACAGTCCAGTTAACTATGCAGAACAAAGAATGTGTACTGAAAAGAGCAAGAAACACTGGGTCACACACAAAGGCCAGCCTGTCAGAATAAAAGCAGATTTCTGAACAAAAAATTTAAAGACCTGAAAGGCTTGGTACAACATTCTTCAAACTCTGAAAGACAGTGGCTGACAGCCCAGACTACCATACCCAACAAAACTACGTGTCACAAAATTTCCTACAATTAAAAGCAACCTAAGAGAATTTATAACGAATGTGAGCAAGATGGTTCAATGGGTAAAAACACTTGGTGCCAAGCGTCACCACCGGCAAGTGACCCGCAAGCCCCCGTGGTAGGAGGGGAGAACAGACTCCTGCAAGTTGTCCTCTGCTGCCACAGGCACGCTAAGGCATGGTGCTCCATGGTGCCCTGTGCGCTAAGCTGTGCATTCTCTGTGTTAGTTGCATTAGGTGCACTTTGGTCTTATGCCTGGTAACTGGGGTGTAACTGCATTGTAGGTCAAGAAGGACTATGCATGACTGCTGTAATGAATATGCAATAGACTCGAGGATGCACATGGCAAAAAAACAAAGGAACAGAGAACATAGACACAGCAAAAGGTACAGGACACAGCAAAAGCAGTGTGGGGTGAGGGGTGGGACATGGGTGACAGCAGGTCACATTTACATTTAAGAGAGAACAGTCTCAGATTACCAACTTAATTTCATACCTCAAGGAACTAGAAAAATAAGGTCAGCCTGGGGTACAAAGTTAGAGTTATCCTGGGATACAGAATGGGACCCTACCTCAAATCAAAACAAAACACCACTAAGATAAAATTAGACCTAACACTAACAAAATGAAAAATAGTAACAAACATTAAAGCAGAAACAAAATAGAGGATTTTATTTAATTTTCACTTTTATTTTATGTTATGTGTGTGGGCATTTTCTCCACATGTATGTCAGTGAACCACATGTGTTGTTGGTGCCCACAGAGGCCAGAAGGGGACACTGGATCCCCAGGAACTGAAGTTGCAGATGGTTGTGAGCAACCATATGAGTGCTGGGAACTGAACCTGGGTCCTCTGCAGCCAGTGCTCTTAACCAGGGAGCCCCTAAACAGAAGATTTTTCAAGAAAAACAAAGTCAACTAAACTAGGAGTCAAACTTCAAATTTTTTTTAACTTGACAAAATTTTGCTGGCTTGGCTAAAGAAAGAAAAAAGAGATGGCATAATAAAAAAAAAAGAAGACTCACTGATAATAATCTTATAGAAATAAAGTGAATTGTAAGAAAATGTAATGAACATTTGTATGCCAGCCATTTGGATAACTCAGATGAAATTTCTGGAAATGCACAACCTACCAAGACCGAATTATAAAGAAAGAGAAAATCTGAATCAGTGAGTTAGTCAATGGGTTAAGGCACTTGCCGCCAAGCAAGATTACCAGAGTCCAATACCCAATTACCACAAGGTAGAAAGAGAGATCCAAGAGATCCAACTCCTGCAAGTTGTTCTCTGACCTCTATACATGCACTGTGGCATTCATGCATACACACATGAGTGTACACACACACACACGCACACACACACACACACACACACACACACTAATTAATTAATTATAATAGTTTAAAGAGATAGAAAATCTGAAGAGAGCTAGTTGCCAGTAAATAGACTAAACCAGTAATTTAATATCTCCAAACAAAAAAGGTAAGGACTGATGGTCCTGATGAATTCTACCAGAAATGAAGTAAGCAAGTCCTTCTCAAACTAGTTTTAAAAACAAGAAGGGAGCCCTATTTAATCTATCCTGTGGAACCAGCCCTACCTCAATACCTCAACCACACAAAGGCACCACAAGAAAACAAAATGCATACCGATATCCCTTCTGAATATCAGCATAAAAAGTCTCAACAAAATGCTAGTAAATTAGATGAATAATATATTAAACTGATTATGCAAAGGGAATATGATGTAATTGTAATCTCAAAAAAAATTTTAAAGGATTATGTAGCATAACCAAGTGGAGTTTGTTAGTAGAATGCAAGAATAGTTAAATATACAAAAACTAGTCGACGTGACCACATTAATAAAATGAAGGGGAGACACATGATTAATTCAACTGAAGAAAAAAGGGCATCCAACAAAATTCAATGCCTTTTCATGATAAAAAAAAAATGTTTTTTAACTCAGAAAATTTCACATAGAGGGAAATGAGAGCCATGATCCACATAAATGCCGGTAAGCTTGGTACCCACCAGAAATCCTAGTGCTCAGCATACAGAGATGGAATCCACTGGACAAGCTGGCTAGCTAGAATAGCTGGAACTGACGAGCTCTGAGTTCAGAGAACAAAGTGGAGAACAATCACCCTGACATCAGCTTGAGACTTCCACATGCACTTATGTGCACACACATACAAGTGCAAAATTAATCTTTAAAAAGGAGAAAACTGGATACACACTATGTCCTGGCTAGTTTTATGTCAACTTGACACAAGCTAGAGTTATCTGAAAGGGGGGAACCTCAATTGAAAAAAAAATGGCCCTTAAGCTCTGGCTGTAGGGCATTTCCTTAATTAATGATTGATAGGGAAGGACCCAGCCCATTGTGGGTGGTGCCATTCCCGCCTGATTGCCCTGGGTTCTATAAGAAAGCAGGCTAAGCTGGGTGGTGGTGGTGCACACCTTTAATCCCAGCACTCGGGAGGCAGAGCCAGGCGTATCTCTGTGAGTTCAAGGCCATCCTGGGCTACCAAGTGAGTTCCAGGAAAGGTGCAAAGCTACACAGAGAAACCCTGTTTCAAAAAACCAAAAAAAAAAAAAAGAAAAAAGAAA